CAAATATGGCTGTGTGTTTTAGTCAGTTGAATTGATCTCCTTCAGGTGGGTGATCCTAAATTGGTGTAAGTGAAAAAAATGGCTCGTGGACCGAAACGTCATTTGAAGCGTCTAGCGGCGCCGCATCATTGGATGCTTGATAAGCTTGGAGGTAATTGATTGTCGCAGATAATCGTGCTTTTTTAAATTTGTTCTGTTGAGCAAATTGTGTTAAACTTCGAATTTTTAGTAAAATGATTGCGTTAGCAACAGTTTTTGCAATCACTTTAGTTGAAGTGGGTAAACGGTTAATGATGAACACAATGGAATTACCGTTTGATCATACATGAAACTACTCTTCGCGGCTATATTATTCTGAAACCGTTTCCCTTTCCCCGTCTAAAATTACTTCCAAATTTGATAAGTTCTGGGGTCTTATTGGATGAAGTCATGAAGAAAGGAATAACAATGCTGATTTAGAAGTGTTGATTGATGGTGATAATTTTAGGTGTATTTGCGCCACGACCAACATGCGGACCACATAAACTGCGTGAATCTCTGCCATTGATTTTGTTCCTGCGTAATCGTCTGAAGTATGCACTCACCTACAATGAAGCAAGAATGATTTGCAAACAACGCTTGATCAAGATCGATGGTAAAGTACGAACTGAAATGCGTTTCCCTGCCGGTTTCATGGGTAAGCAATTGATTGGGTTTTGTAATCAGTTTTATTGAAATATATCAGTGTGCGGTTAATGATGAACACAATGGAATTACCGTTTGATCATGCATGAAACTACTCTTCGCGGCTATATTATTCTGAAACCGTTTCCCTTCCCCGTTCAAACTTAATGTCAAATCTGATAAGTTTCTGAATAAGTGATGTTTCGCTTTTACAGATGTGATCACAATCGACAAGACAAACGAAACGTTCCGTCTGTTGTACGACGCGAAAGGTCGTTATGCTGTCCACCGTATCACTGAGGCAGAAGGTAGATTCAAGCTATGCAAGGTTGTCAAGAAATCAGTTGGACCGAAGGGAGTACCGTTCATCGTTACGCACGATGCACGCACTATCCGATATCCTGATCCCCATGCTAAGGTTTGTTAAATCTCATTGA